AACAGACCTATTTTGGATGTGCCCAATATCTTTTATCTTCAAAACCCTTGATGAGAACAAATCCATCTCTTCTGATGTCTTAGAACTTCAAAAGAGATGGGGAAGTTTACAAAAGAAACCGTGATCACCACTAATGGTCACAAAGAAGAAACCATCTAAAGGAGCTTCAGGTAGGTCCCAACTTCTGCAGAACTGCTGTCAAACACACACCTATGGGCCCCTACAGGTGTACTCTATGTCTGCCTTCCACCCTGCTTCCTGAGGACCATAAATGGGCATGTCTGCTCACCCGTAAGACTATAAGCTCCCAAAGATAATACTGTGTCTCATTCATCTCTGCAACCTAGGACCAGTTTGGGGTTAACAGAAAGCTAATCCTGGGCCAGGACCATAGCACAGAGGTTAAAGGAGCCAGATCCCACATGGCTGATTGTGGCTCAAATCCTAGCCCCAGGTACTTGAGAACATACTGTGTGCATGTGTGTACATGCCCAAAATCCTGACAGGAGGGGAAAATGGAGGAGAAGGAATTGCAGCTTGACCCCAACCAACTAGGGGCAGGGGCGGGGGAGGTTCTCTCACTGTCACACGCTCCCTCTATCAATAAGAAATAAAATACATGATGCTATCTACAGATGAAACATCAAAGACTTTGCAACCAAAACACTTTCCTCCACTGCATCAAGAAAGAAGGAAAACTCAATCTACAGAAGTAAATGCCATTTAAGAGCTATCTCTGCTTCAACCTTGAATCTTTCCTGGCTCATCTCCGAGAACCATCAAATCTGCTGCTCCCAGGCTGGGGGAGATGCTGAAGGAGAAGGAAGCTAAAGGATGCTTAGAAGGTCCTCGGGGAACGTGCCCTCAGTGAGTCAGTACGTCTGTTACTCAGTGTCCTCCCCAGCCTCTCCACGCTGTAAACATCCCTGAGAACTGAGTGCCCGAAGGAAGTTTGTCTCCTCTAAAGAACTCATCTTTCCTCTTGTGAGATAACCTAATTCTTTCCACCAGGATGTGCTCAGCTCTATAAAGGTCTTGATTGTGGTGCTTCACACAACTCACTCCTAATCTGGGGTTCCAGAACTCATATTTATCATCCCGTAGCAATACACTAAACAATAGATTGCTATTCTATTCCCTGTTTGTGGAGCTCCCACTACATGTTGGAGCTGTGTTAGGCAATGAAGAAACCATTGAAAATGGCCCAGGAGCTCCTGGCCTGGTACTAGGCTATATTTATTTCAGAAGCAGGTAAACCCAGCCACAGATAAGACATAGTCACCCCCCTTCTCCAGTAACAAAAGGGCGCCGTACCTTCCTCCCAGGACTATTTCGAACAGCCAAGGCCATGGTTTCTGTTATCTACTGCTCGCTTTCCTCCCCATCTCCACTCACTCATTCTCTGAACATTACCACAACCATCACATCTGTCAGGTTAACACTATTCTCCTTCAGTGAGCAAGGCCCTCCAGAGCACAGCACACGTTTATGGGCCGGGCTCTGTGCTGGACTGGCTGCTTGGTTCAAATCCAGCTCTATTTCATCCCAGCTGGGAAATCTTGGGCTAATTACTAAACTTCTCAGAGCTTCGTCTGAGCTAGAAAGGGCTACAGTATCATTCTTTAGGATTTCTTCTGAGGCTCACAAATTCATCTACGTAGAAGCCTCAGCACTGGAAATAAAGGTAATGTTCCTGGGGCCAGCAGATGTCATGGAGGTTAATACAGCTAACTCCCACATGGCCCACTGCACAGTTCTAATTCCAGACCTGGTGGCTTGAAATACACACCAGGGGCAAGCATGCGCATGTGTGTATGTATGTGTGTGTCCAAAATCTTGAAGAAAATGTGGAGGAATAGCCATGCCTCCTGGAGGTGCTTTCTCACTTTCCCTCTCTCTGTCTCCAGCGAGTGCATGCACGCTCTAGCCAGGGGGAAAAAAAAGTCTGCTCCTGACAGCTCACGCTTAGTGCATTATAGGTGATCATATTACTAGTATTGTTTTTTCCTCTGCCAGCATTTACCTTTCCTTCTCGTTTTCCAAAGTTAACAATCACAGGATGTCAGGAACAATCTTTATACCTCCAGTTGTTGGCCCTCAGTGCTCACCAGCCATTAAAAGATAAATTCAAGTGCTGACTTTGGATCTAAGTTGTCTGGGACGATGGATTCCAGACCACTGAGCACCTAAGTGTAGCCTGTATGTGTAGATGGACAAGGTGGTTTTCATGATTCCAAAGACAGGCACAAGTGCAGGAACGCCTTTACACTGGGGTGCACATGTTACAGTGCTCCAAACAGCCATAGTATCTAGAATACAATGTGTCTCCTTCCTTTGTCCTTCTGAAATAAAAATAGACTGCATCTACTTTCCTCAACATTTTCCAACATTCTTTCATTACTCCACTCCAACATGGGTTTACTACTCTGTGAAAATCAACCATTACTAAAACGACAGAGGAATGTCACAATAAGGTAGTAAGGGGCTCTGACCACGTGAACGCTGAGGCGGGGCAGAAGCCTTGGTGTAATGAAATGCTAACGCTCTCCACAGAGGAGAGAGCACTGATGGAAGCTCATTTTGCAACCAGAGAGGAACAAAAGAGCCATCTGGGGTGGCAAATGCCATTTGAGGACCTCTCTGCTTTGACCTCCTATCTCTGTCAGCCTTGGAGCCCCACACATCTCTTAACCCCACTGCTCCTGGGGTAAAGGAATCATAGAAGGAAGAGAAAAGCTTGGGGCTAGCAAGAGAAATCTTTACACCTGGACCACGAGCTCCCTCTCATTCGGCAGTTCAACATTAGTGAGAAGAACAAGGAAAGGAGAGCAGATAATAACATCCCGCAATGCCTCAGTCTCTCTGCCTATCACAGCTGAAGTCATCATACAGAAATGACAACGGATGTCACATGGTCAAAGCAGACAGTTGACGGAGCCATGCCACGACGTCTGTCTGATCCAACCATCTCTCCAGGCACAGTGCGATCTCTCTCCCCGTGTCCACTCTGTTCCAGGCCCACTTCCTTCTTGCTTTTCATACCTGCCAACTCTTCCCTATACCGAGTTTTGTTTAATTACATGTCCAGTGAAGATCAAGTAAAACCACCAACCACCTGGCCCCATGAATGAACTGACCATGCTCAGCTCAGCAGGTTGAGTGGCTAGTCTCTGCCGTCTCAAACCCCTGGGAGCCAGAGTTACAGATGAGCATGCCAGCCTTGCAGCTGAAGAAAGATCTCGGAGATCACTACACAGGCCTTCCCGGCCTAGAGGGCGACTCTGCCCCACAGCCTGTTTTTCCAAGATCCCACCCTGCTTTTCTGGCACTCACTTGGGTTGGAGTACAAGTTGCTTCTTCGGTCACCTCTCTTCTCTAAACTTCATTTAAGAACCAGCCAAAACAGACCCTAGGAATGGCATCCTGAACCAGGGATGGGCTGAGAGGGTCCTCTTCCAAGGGTCTGCCTCTGAAACCCACTCCTAGCTCAGGTACGTCTCTGTAACAATTAGTGGGCATTTTCAAAATGATAAAAACAACATGTATGCACTGTGGGAGATCTGGAAAGTATTTGCAGGTATACTTGCACACTTGTATGTATACGTGTGCACTACAGACATAACTTGTAATACTGCCACCAAGTTACAACTACAACATATACACACATCTGACCAGAAAATGCCTCCCGGCTTTACGCTGAGTATGGTGATAGTCAACGGTTTCTGCTAAAAACTCTCTATCGTATCAAAGAGGTACCTCTACTCCTCACTTATGAAGATTACCCTATCAGGCGTCGATGCTAAAAAACTATACAAATGACTTGTTAATACCTATCAAGAAAAATATCTGGATTTTCTTCTTTACCCTATTAATGAGAGAACTTACATGGATGAATTTCCTAACATTAAACCATCTTTAAAATCCTAAGTAATCCCTACTTTTTATGTACAGTGTTCTTTTCATGTGTGACAGAATTTGACTGGGTAATAATGTGCTAGAATTTTTATGCATCTATGCACAAAAGCAATTGGCCTATAGTTTTCTTTCTAACGGTACTTTTGTCAAGTTTTTTATATCAAGGCAATGTTTGATTGGACCAAGATGCAGATGTATATTAAAAATACTTTAAGGAAATTTAAAGAGCAGAGGGCTCTGCATACCCTAAAGAGTTCCTGGGAAATCACTGTCACACCATCTAGGTTGCTACCTCCTAGGTAACCGGTTCTTTAAGCAATTTACAACTTCCTTTCACAGGTTTTCTGTTCCTTTAGGCACTATGCCTCATCTTCATTTAATTTTTATTAAAAAAAAGTTATCCTAGAAAATATCCACCTCATACATATTTTCACATCTATCAGCACAGAGTTATATGCGATATTCTTTCCTGTTTTTAGTCTCCTCCAAACCTGAGGTTATATTTGTTGTCTTAGTTATTTATTACTACCTTTTAAAGAAGTTTTTACCTTAGAGTACATGTGTTCATGGGGGGTGGGGGGAGACAGAGAAAGCAAGAGGGAAAGTGAGAAATCACCTCCCCGGGGGAATGGCCACAACACAATCCCTTCTCTTTCATTCTCTGCCTGGGGTCTCCGACACACGCACATGCATCGGGGATGAATTTCAAGCTACTCCAGAATTCAAACCACAGTCAGCCATGTGAAAGTTCAGCAATGTAACCACTACGCCATCTGCTGACCCTGTTGTCTTATTTTGAACATTACCTATTTATGTTTAACATTTCTCATTAACATTTTTCCAAGAATCGGTTCTTTTATCTTATCAAGTACACTAGGTTTGGTTTCTTGGGGGGGGGGGGGGGGGGGGGGGTGTTTTTTTTTTTTTTTTTTTTTTTTTTTTTTTTTTTTTTTGCTATAGAGTAGAGCTGGCAACTACTGGTTATTTTACTAATGTCTCTGTTTTAACACGTTGAGCTTGTTCTTGGAAAGTACCAGCAGCAGCCAACACCAGGGATAAAGAGGTACAGACTCGGCCCGCCTTACCTCAATGAGCTTTCTTTCGTAGGAACTTGCTAGCTCTTCAGCAACCTCTCCCGGCTTCTGCTCAGTGACTGTTACTTCTCCATCAACATTCCAAGGACTTGGAACAACTTTAGGAAAAGAAAGACACTAAATAAATATTTTAACAGTAACCAAAAATTCTTCTCCCAGTAAGAAAAGAGAGAGAAAAAAATCCTCCTTTCCCAAATGCCTTCCTCAGAGGAAAAGCTCTTTCTAAGAAAAGAAAAATTACTGATTACTTCAATGTCGCAACATTTTCACACAAGAACAATAAAGTGAGAGATATCCTGTACTTTAACAATGCTACAACTCTCATGAGCGATACGTAAGAGTCTGGGAAATAATCTTGACATTCCTTTCCAAGTCAGGGACAACAGGCAATGCTTTGGCAAGACATAGGAGCCTACGCTTGCGTCTTTTATGTTGGCCAACTTACCTCTTCTCCAACAGAGACGTTACCCAGTGAGTACAGTACTGCCCGTCTATAGCCTGATGTACAACAGTAACAGGGATCGGATTATACACAGAACCAAAAAGAATCAGCATTTGTAAACTGTCCTGATGGTGATAGCAAGGCAGCCTCTAAAAAGAGTCTAAAACCAACATCCAATGGCAATGCAACGGTATCTTAAAGAGACTGGCTCCCAGGTGCTCCCGAGAATGAGCACAGTGGACACTTCTGGGTACTGTTTGTGCCAGAGGGTATAAGTCCTCATATGCCCATGTTGTAAAGAATAAATGGAAAATGGAAATGGGCCAGAAAACCAGAGAAGAAAAGAGCTCCTATGCCACTGGTTACTCAAATCCATATTCTTAAAACACAGTGTATATTCTTTTTAAAGCTCATTTAGGAACCAGCCAAAATAGACCCTAAGAATGGCACACAGTGGTGTGTTTTAGAAGCAAGCCAGGCTATGAAGGAGAGGCACTGTATGTCCCCACTTAATATATACCAAGTGTCCGCACTCTATGACTGAAACTAATTGACTAAAGGATATAGAAACAAAGGCAAAGAACAACAAAATGGAAAACAAAAAGGGAAATAGAAAACTAAAAGTTCAAATGAGAAGAGCTTAAGAAAAGAAAAAGTTAAGAGTGAAGAGGAAATCAAAGATACAGTCAAGAATGTGCCAGAACCAACAGACAGAGTTGACTGAAGAACTCAACAAGTCCCCAGCACAACAAGAGTTGAGGGAAGAACTCAACAAGTCCCCAGCACAACAAGAAAAGAAAGGCCCACTCCTCAGACCATGGGAGACAGAGAATAGGTTACAAACTTCCAGAGTGGAAGCAGAATTCTCATAAAGGATAAAATTGTTAGATATGGCAGAGGATTTCTAAAAAGCAATACCACAAGCTAGAAAACAATAGAGGAATAATACCTTCGACATCCTTAGGAAAAACTATTTCAAATGTAGAATTATACAAAACCAAACCATGTTACAAACAGGATACAAACATGTTCATACACGTAAATTTCTCAAAAACTTTAGCTTCCTTAGCAAAAGAAGGGATGAAATCTATGAGTAGTGAAATATAAACTCTAAGATATTAGGAATCCAAAATGAAAGTGACTCAAAGTATTCATGATAAGCAAAAGTAGAAATCCCCCAAATGGCTATCAACTGATAAAATGAACAAAATGTGGTATAGCCATGAAATGGAATAGTATTCATCCATAAAAACGAATACTGACCCGTGCTACAATGTAGATGTAGATACACCTTGAAGATGTTATGTTAGGCAAAACAGGCCAAAGACAAAAGACCACATATTGTACGAGTCCACTTACATGAAAAGTCCAAAATACTAGCACTGATAACTATTAGTTTCTAGGGGCTGGAGAAGGGAAGGATAATGGGAAACTACCACTGGGTATGTGGTTCCTTCTGGGGATGATGAAAGTGTTCTGGAACTGGACACTTGTAATGCCACAACACCTTTGTGAATGGACTAAAAATCACTGAATTGTGTACCTTAAATGGGACATTGTGTGGTGTGTGAATAATCTCAATAAAGCTGTCTTTTTTTAAAAGTGGAAAGAAGGACAGTCAGGGGGTCCACAACACACCCAGGCTTCCTCTAACTAGAGTAGGGGAGGGGTGCCGGGAGAGACTGTCTGGATACAAGGAGCAGGCGACCTACAGTGTTCGAATACTCTGCAGAATTTACAGTGGGAGGACTTGGAGCTGAATGAGTGATAAGAAGTATATACAACACTAAACGACAACAAAAGGACAAGTACTAACTTCAGAAAAACGAAAACGTGGTGCAGGACAAACGCTCTCGTACCTCACTGCTCATCTGTGGGTAGCATTTCAGAGTCAGAGTAACATAGTCACTGGAGATTAATCTAACCACAATGATGCTAGGACTATGCCAGAGGGTGGGGGAGAGAGAGAGAGAGAGAGAGAGAGAGAGTGTGTGTGTGTGTGTGTGTGTGTGTGTGTGTGTGTGTGTTCGTGTTCTGAAGCTGGAGGAGTCGAAGAGAGTTCTTCTTTCTCAGTGAGAATCAATAATGGCTACAATAGAAAAGTCAAAAAGTAGAATCAGCTTGTTCAGAGATATTGAGGCAGCTATTAAAGAATTCATTTAAAAAGTTTCAAACCCTTGGAAGGTTGAGAAGGAGAACTAACAACTTTTTACTCACATGCCTATAAAATTTTTATTTCAAAATATAAGCTATATTTCTGTAAACTAAGTGAATCAGAATTTGTGGGGAGACCACTTAGAAATGGGACTGAGAGAAGTTAGGTAAGACGGCAGTGCCCAGCGGCAGGGCCGCCAGGCAGGAGTACCTTGGCAGGTGTGGCCATCGGGGGTAGTTAGCTAACTAACTATGGCTGGTTAGCAGAGCTGGTACTCGTCTATACCCAAGAAGTGTAACTACCAGCCTCTAGTCTGCCTCTGTTCTAATGCCTGCCAGGCCCAGAATGCTCCCCTCCACAGGGAGACCCTGCTGCTCAGCAAGTCCTGGCCGCCAACCTGCTGCAGGTCTACACATCTCATCAGCAATCAGGCCTCCGGCCTCTACCCTCCAGGCACCAGGCCCTCTGTGAGTGCATTTAAGAAGAATCAGCAATCTTTCATGCTGGAGGAAGCAGATGGAAAAAAAAGCTTTTTGACCTTCAAGGATATAGGAACAGACTTGGACAGTCATGAATTTACAAAAGTTCTTTTAGCAACTAGTCAGTCAACTTTCTTCTGTAGCTATCTAACTTTCTCCTGCCCTGGTTCAGCTCCTGCGGCTCTAATAAGCATGGCAGAAACTTCAATTCCATGTATAAAAATAATAGAATAAAAAATTAATCATACTTTTCTCATTGGTATGAGAAAAGTCTCACCATGGCCTCCAAAGATCGCTGCCTGCTGGTATTCACATTCTTACATAATTCCTACCCCTTGAGTTTGGGCTGGACTTACTGACTCACTTCTAATGAACAGAATACAACAGAAGTGAAGGGATGTCACTGCTGCAGTTAAGTTATAAAAAGACTGTGGCTTCTGTCTTCATGGCCTCTTTCACTCACTCACTTTAAAGAAAACCAGCTGCCATCTTGCGAGCTGCTTTAAGGAGAGAACCACACAGCAAAGAACAGATGCATCTAGCTAACAGCCAACGAGGCCACACGAGTTGAGCCTTGGGATGATAGCTGAAGCTTCAGCTGACACTGATGGCGCCTAGTGAGAGCCCCAGAGCCAGGCACACAGCCAAGCCACACAAACTGTGACATAGTAACTGTTGTTATTAGCTGCTACGTTTTAGGGTAATCGGTTACACTGCAGTATGTGTCTAAAGCAATACCTTTAACCATTCAACAGGTACTTTTAAAAGCCTATTTATTTCTTAAAGGTGAGCAGAAGAGGCTGGTACCCTCGACAGGGTCTCTCTCATGCTATAAACCTCTCCCCACCCTCTCAGCCCATCAGGACCATGGCGCATGTGTGCCTGGACTGTTCAGGTCAACCCAGGATCTGAACCCGCCTTCCATCTGCACACTTTTGCGCATTCCATTATAGTTGGGCCTCAGTTGTACTTCCTGAGAGATTCCTAACTAAGACCTGTAGTGAGACCTGGAGTAAAAAGATGGTGATGTGGTCCCATCTGGCCAGTATTTACAAAAGAGAAAACTAACAGACATACTTGCTCTATAACTCTATAGCTTAAGGATTAATATTTACAAAGTGAGGAAAGCAATTTAATAGGGTAGATACCTCTCACCTCTGTATTGCCAAATATAAAGGTAAAGACATGCCAAGGTATGAGAAGTCGTTCATACCACTAGCCTAAGTTTATATTAAGCGTAACACCTGATTTCTTACTTTCAAGCCAAGAAAGTTTCGTTTGCCTCGCGAGTAGGAGAACATCCGAGTATTCAAAAAAGGCGGCACTACACAAGACTGAGCAATGGCAAGTCATCTGAGAACCAAAACCAGTCGGTTACAATGCCATCCCACACAGCACATCCCCAAAACCAACCGGAAAGATCTCACTGTGATTGGATTTTGAAAGTCAAATCTAAACAATAAATATAAACATTTGAGAATGATCAAACTAAAACTTTCTTACACTTTTCCTGGAAAAGGAAAGAATGCATGCACACCAGAGGGACAAGAAAGAGCACCCCCACGGCATGGCCGTGCCACAATCCCTTCTCCTCCATTTCTCCCTCCTGTCAGGATTTTGGTCACGCAAGCACATATGGCGAGTGTATTTCTCAAACCACTGAGTCCAGGACTCAGCCATTTGGCTGCCTTAACACCAGGCCATGGAGTCAGCCTAATTTTATTTTTATTTTTTTATTTGCCAGTGGGTACACGCACTCACCAGAGAAAGAGGAAAACAAAGAGTGTGTGTGTGTGTGTGTGTGTGTGTATGTGTTGGGGGGGTCACATTCTCACTGGGGAAATGGTCATGCCACAATCCTTTTTCCTCCATTTCCTAACCCCATCGGGATTTTAGGCATACAACCACATGTGCCAAGCATGTTTCCAAGTTGCCAAGGCCAGGACTCAAACCACAGTGCGCCATGTGGGATCCAGCTTTCTGTGCAGGGCACTTAACTGCTGAGCTATGGGGCTGACCCTT